TTTAGAAGGAAATATCGGAGTTACTTTTTCAAATCAGTAACAGTTACTTAGTTTCCGTGTGTTGAGTGACAGCTCTGGTGTTGCCATGGAGACAGAAATCAGGAGTGAGTGCAGAGTGTTGTGTGTGAACATGATCTTACTGTAGCTCTAGACTAGATATCAACATGTGTTTACTCATCTCACTGCACACAAACACATTCAGTGCTCCTCACAATCAATACAAACTCACAATATGATGCAAACCTGCAATAATTCAATACGTTACATTACACAAATATCATTTATGTATTTAATCCTATTTTATCAACCAGTGTCTTTCCCGCTAACCTTCTATGATCCAATACTAAGCAAAAATAAAATTCAACTTTGATTTTAGTTATTGCTGAATAGTGTTGAACGTTCTTCTGCTGCGTCATATTCTTCATGAGATGTGTTTGAGCGGCGCCCTCTACTGTACAGACCAGAATTTACATTTCCTTCAGCCTGAGACGCATTCACTTCACTTCTGCTGTGAGAGGACTTTACATTTGTGAAAGAAGAACTTCTTATATTAAAAACAAACAAACAAGCCCTGCCCAGATTTAAAAAGTAACATAACGCATTACTTTCCATAAAAGGTAAGTAACATAATTAGTTACTTTTTTAGGGAGTAACGCAATATTGTAATGCATTACTTTTAAAAGTAACTTTCCCCAACACTGGTTATTACAATGTGAAACAGCTGTGAATCTCTGTTAAACTGTAATGTATTTCTGTGATGTGCAGCTGTATTTTCAGCATCATTCCTCCAGTCTTCAGTGTCACATGATCTTCAGAAATCAGTATAATATGCTGATCTGCTGCTCGAGAAACATCTCTGATTATTATCAATGTTGAACACAGTTGTGCTGCACAATATTTTTGTGGAAACTGTGATACACTACCATTCAAACTGTTTAATTTTTTTAAAGAAATGAACACTGTTATTCATCGGCGATGCATTAAGCTGATCCAAAGTGTGAGTAAAGAGGTGTGTAATGATGAGTGGACTTGTCGTGTGTGCTGTGGTCACCGGTGTGTCTTCAGATGGTATCTGAGGTGTGCTGGGTAGCTGAAGGTCCGCTGGCAGCTCTCGTAGGGGCAGCGGTGGCTCTTCTGTGACACAGCTCTGGGCTCCTGCTTCTGCTCGGACTCCGGCTGACCGCTGTGGATGTGCTCAGGGCTGTGGCGTGCGTCTCTGGCCAGCTGCGCGCGTGTGGCGGCGATCAGACTGTCGTGAGCCAGCTCCTGGACCCGCAGGTACCACGGCGCACCGCAGTCTCCGGACGAAATCTCCTCCTGCGCCTCGTCCACATCGTCCTGAACAAACACCAGCGGCTCGGCCGACAGCCCTACAACACAACCACTGCGTCACTGCAAGCTCCGAACACTGCTGGGAAGCTGCTACGAGTTACCCGGACTAAAGTGGAACAACTATTTCAATTACTTTATTAAAGTAATGTAACCGCACTGCAAAAAAATGATTCTTTTACTCAGTATTTCTGTCTTGTTTTCTAGTATAAATATCTAAAAGTTCTTGAATCAAGATGCATTTACTGTACAAGTAAAATGTACAGTAAATGCACACGGCGCAGCTCTATTCTGGAAAAGGGGGCGGGGAGCAGCAGCTCATTTGCATTTAAAGAGACAGGCACGAAAAACAGCCTGTTGCACTCAAAATAGGCATTTTCAAAATGTTATAATAAATGATCTGTGGAGTATTTTGAGCTGAAACTTCACAGACATGTTCTGGGGACACCAGAGACTTAAATTACGTATTGTAAAAAGGGGCATAATATGTCTCTTTAAGGAAAAACTAACAAAATTTGGATATTTTTTATTTTACAGAAAACAAGACTTAATATCTTAAGTCATTTTACTTGTACAGTAAATTCATTTGATTCAAGAACTTTTAGATATTTATAAACAAGACAGAAATACTAAGAGAATCATTTTCAAACAGGGTTTGCTCAACACTGATGACTGTCGGACATTTAAATCCTTCGTTACTTTAATTAAGATTGCAATAGTTTAATTGTAAAGCACAGCCGCCACAATATCAGTCTTTAGCAGCTCTTTTACTTTGAGATGGTTCTGAGGTTAAACACAGATTTAAAACTAGCACAAGATATAGTTTAATAGCTATGATACTGCTTCTGAAATCAAATCTTTGCAGTTATGACAGAAACACTGGCATCTAACAACGGCTTGGAAAAAACGGTTCATCTTAAAAAATAAAGCATAAACATAAACCCTATTCTGTGTCCTAAACTCCTGAAGCATTAGTGTCTCATATAGTCTTTCATTTAGTCTTTAAAATCTGATATGCATTTTCATGATGCATTTGTAAATGATTTATGTTACAGCAAACAGTAAATGTGTAAAATTAACTAAAAACAAAAATCTCAAATAAACATAAATCACTGCATTACTACATCCTATTATTTCATATCACTGTAACAGTATACATCAAAATACAGTTATTTTTGCTGGAAAAGCACTTTCAAAAGTCATGACACGCAGAAATTCTTTGAAAAAAAACAACAACGAAAAAGTACTTTTACAAAGCGGTTCTTTACAAATTCAGCAGCTTTTGTCAGTATTTTGTATATTGTATTATTTTAATATTTATTTTTAACAGATTTTTTTTTTAAATGTTAATATTTAAAAAAATAAATAAATATTTTGTCAGTATTTTTTATTTTAATAATTATTTTTTTAACAGATATTTTTTTTAATGTTAATATTTAAAAAATAAATAAAATAAATATTTTTTCATTATTTTTTATTCTATTATTTATTTTTCAACAGTTATTTTTTTTAAATGTTAATATTAAAAAAAGTAATAATTTTTTCATTATTTTTATTTTATTATTTTAATATTTATTATTTTAACAGTTATTTTTTTAAATGTTAATATTAAATAAAAAACATATATATATATATATATATTCAAACACTAGATTATAATGTTTTTACCTTAAATTAAAAACACAAAAAAATAGATTTGCATTTGTGACCGATTCAGATGTGCACGCTCGCATGTTCTTATGAAAACAAAGGCAAATGTACAAAAGGTAAAATTTATAAAACAAATACAATGACAATGACAAATGTATTATTTTTAATATGTTTTAATTAAAAGCTTTATTGTTTTATTTTGGTCAACATTTATTTTATTTAGAAACATTTTTTAATGGTTTTAGTTTTAATTAACTATAATAACCCTGACATGAGCATCAGGTTTAGTTTATGAAGCTCCAGTCAAGCAGAAGAGGCACAAACAAGATAATTTTTCACCCAAATATGGTGCCATAAGTCATGAAAATGAAATGAAAAACCGCAGCAGTTTCACTAGTGGTCTGTGATCTAGTGCTGTATGACGGACTCTGATATGTGAGCTTAAGCGTCGCACCTTTGGCCAGATTGAGCAGGACATAAGACGAGCTGTCGTGGTTCTGGAGGTCCTGCAGGATGGTGGGCGGGGTTTGTGCTGGAGGGGGAGGAGTCTGCAGCTGAACCACCAATGGGCTTCGCTCAGGGCCGAAGTCTGACAGCGACGGGGAGGCGGCATGACTCTCTGAAAAACACCAGAGCAGAGCAAGAATCACAAAAATGAGTCGTGTTACACGTTCAAAACTACAATAAAATTCATCTCATGCAGACAAACAAAACAGCTCTTCTAAGATGATCACGTTCTCATCTAAACAATGAACTGAATTCATCTTCAAATGTAAAAAAAAGTTTAAAATAATTCAAAGCAAAAGACTAAAATTCTTGGGGAAAAAAATATTGTAAAGTAGTTCTTTACAAAATGAGCAGATTCAGCACAAATTCATAAAAAAATGAAAATATATTTTAATTTCAAATGTAAATACATTTATGACATGGCTGTTTTTTGTTCTTTCTAATGAAAAAATATGAAATGATGTCTTAAAAATATATTTGTATTTCAAATTATTCAGATGTGTGCAGTACTTCTGAAAATATAAAGACAAATGTACAAAGAGTAAAATATATATATAAAATAAAAGTATAAAAACATAACTGACAAAACTGTTAATAAATCCTTTTGATTAAGATATAAAAGCTTATGCATATGTAAATTACTTAGATGTTAGGACAGATGAAAGGGTGAAAAATAATAAAATAAAATAAAATAAAAATAAATAAATAGATAAAATATTATAACTTACCTGACCACACAGTCATTAGTTTAAAAATCTGATGAAAATTTAAAGGCTTATGCATTTGTAAATTACTCGGATGTAAATGCAATAAATAAATAAATAACTTATAAGTGACAGCACAGTCATTAAATTGAAATGTTTGTGAAAATATAAAAGCTGATGTTTTGAGCTAGTTTTCCGAAGGGTTTCTCCCGTTGACACAGGTGTGTTTGTACCTGGCAGATCCAGCGGGCCGCACTGTGAGGCTGTAGTATCCGCTTCCTCCAGACTCCGGCCCAGCGGGATAGACGCGTTCTGAACAAACTCGACCAACAGCTGCACACACACACACAGACACGGACAGACACACACGGACACAGACACAGACACAGACAGAGAAACGGGCAGACACGGACACAGAGACAGACACAGACATAGACACGGGCAGACACGGACACAGACATGGACACACACGGAGACAGACATGGAAACACAGACCCGGACAGACACGGACACGGACAGACACAGACACAGACAGACACACACACACGGACACGGACAGACACACACGGACACGGACACGGACAGACACACACGGACACGGACACAGACACACGGACAGACACAGACACAGACACACGGACAGACAGACACACACGGACAGACAGACACACACGGA